GGGGGGGGGGGGGGTGGAGGGTTGGAGGGTTGGAGGGGCGGGGGAAGGGTTTTGGTATGGGTGGCATGAACGACGTGTGCAGATATGAGGCGTGAAAAAAAAGGCATGTAATGAGAAACAAAATATATATATATATATATACATATATGCACGTATATATGTATACATATATGCACGTATGACGTGTGTGTGTGTATATATATATGCATGTCGTACCTACACCATTAACACAGTGCAGAGAAATGTGCCGTACCTGAAAACAGAATAGTCACTTCCTCATGAAACTGAGCGATGAGTGTGACGCCCTGTTTCAATTGTCGAATGACGTTGGCGGGCAGGATCGAACCCAACAGGGAGCGATTGACTCGGGCCTCAGCCGCCACCTGGGTATGGGAATGGCGCGTGACAGACGGCGGCGGGGGATGTGAGGACATTCAGAATGTGACATGGCGATAAGGACAATGATTATGACGAAGAGATATGCGACACCAGATTGGAGAGATCTTGAATTTCGGACGAGAGTTAAGGGGTAGGAAGGGAGGGTGGATTGAAATTGGTGGTGGCGATGCAGTGGTGGCTGAAACAGTGAGCAGAAGGGCGAGAAACAACGAGGAGGAGGAGGAGGAGGAGGAGGAGGCGAAAAAAAAGAAACCAAAAAAATGAATTGGGGGGAAAAGGAAGACGTGTCATCAAACCTCAATTAAAGTTTTTAGGGCTGCGATTTTCGCGGTCTATGGCGATGAATCCATCCACAACCCTGACCATTCCTCCATTCACGGCCTTCCGCTGCCAGTACCACGCGCACACGCACGAACACACACACACATACATACACACACGCACTTCTACAGGCCACAAACTCCACACCCACACTTACCCCCGACCCCACACCCAACCCTCCAGTACGTTCGCACGTACCCGGATACTGCGTTTCAGGGCTAACTGTGTTTTAATCCGCGCCATGAGCTCCAGGTTCCGGAGCGGTTTTATCAGGTAGTCGTTGGCTCCAACCGCCAACCCCCGGATCACATCTTCCTCCAGGGAGGAGCAAGTGATCATAATCACGGGCAGCTCCCCCGGGGAATATTCCCGACGAATTTCCAAACACACCTGGATGACAAGAAAACACATACACACAGCATACATACATACATACATGCATACATACATACATACATACATACATACATACATACATACATACATACATACATACATACATTTGCCCTAGCTGAGACTTGTGGACTCGCTCTAGCGGGACCTGAGAGCCCTTCGTGGTGTCTTCACTGCAGCGCCATCCCCGGATGGAGTGGCTGCGGAGTGGCTGCGTAGAGTGTTGGCAGTCTGAGTCGGGGTCGGGAGCACACAAGACTAACCGACTTGTGCTGTGTGCTCCCGACCCTTGCGCTGTGTTTCGGCTTCGGCCCCCGGCTCTCGCGGCCCACAGTGTAATCTAAGTCATACATACATACATGCATACATACATACATACATACATACATACATACATACATACATACATACATACATACATACAGAACATGTGGCGCCACCATGAATACAGCAAAAGAGGGGGTGCGTAGCAGTGTGTTTTTAGAACACCTCGCGCCCAAAAGCCCCGAGGAAATCTCCCCTCCCCTCTCCCCTCCCCCCTCAAACCTCCCCTCCACCTCCCACTTACTTGCCCACACAGGGCCTAAATAGGACGCACCTCAAAGCCGCTGACGGCGCCCCCCAACGTGACGTCAAGCAGTACCAAATCAGGCAACACCTCGCAAGTACGAATAATCTCCAGCGCATCCTCGCCGTTTCGCGCCTCCAAGACGTCGTACTCCGCAGCCCAAAGTAACGCCCGCATTACCTGTTGGTTGACCGGCTCGTCGTCTACCGACAAAACCTGGAGTCGCGGTGCGAAACGCCGGTTAAAAAGCGGTTGATTGGTTAGCTAGTTAGTTGGCGGCTACCTTGGCGGTTGTATTGATTAGTTGGAAGTTGGTGAACATCCACGCTGACGGCGACGGCGACCAGATTTCCTAAATAGGCTGCCAAGACTTCCCAAACCGAGGAAACGTACGTGCCCCAAAACCACGTACAAGTGAAGTCTTGGTGGTAAGTATGTAAGTACGTATGTATGTAAGTATGTATGTATGTAACACGCGCACCTGCACACGTCCGACGTTCTGTGGCAAGTCACTGAAGGCCGCCTTGCGGGCAGCCAAAGAATCCCACAACGCGCCGCTATCTTTGCCGCCATCGCCGGCCTTGGTGGCGGCGGTGGCAGCGGCGGCTGACGTCGGCGGCTCTGCCGCGGTTCCGCCGCCACCGCCGCCGCCGCCGCGGCCACCGCCTCCAACTCCAGCAACGGCGGCCTCCAGCAACGCCGTTAGGGAGGTGTTCGACGCGGAATGTGTCATGCCCCACCTGCCGCCGTCGCCGCCGCCGCCGCCGCCTCGAGGCCCTCCTTCCGACACCTGTTGGGGTATTATAAAAGGGGGCCAGTCGCCCGCCGTCATTACGTGTGTCGTACAATAAAAACACAACGTGGGCAGATCACCCCAATGTGCTAGCGAGGAAATTGAGTACGGAAACCGTACGGCATCCTGTTCAGTTAGGCAGGAGGAGCTCATACCTAAGCTCCTCGTACACAAGGAGATCAGACAGCAAGACGGCAGATGGACGCAGAAGAGCTAATCCAAACAGAAACAATCAACAACCAAACCAACAACAAACAACAGGCAGGCGGCTGGCAGAGGTTAAGGCCTGGCTTCTGCTCCCGACGCGTCCCGGCGCGTCTGGGTTCAAATCCGCCTGCCGACCTCTCGGGGTGTTTGAGAGGTGTTGAAATGGGAGGTGGCCCCCCATCTTGTGGACGGTGTAGGACGTGATAAAATCATCTCGCGAGCCGACCAGGAACTAAGTTGACGCGCCGTTGATCCGCTAGATTTGGTTGGATGCTGGTGGTGAGTTGCCAAACTCAAAGAGTACACTCTGAAGTCGGATGGGGTGAATGGCTTAGGGTGCCCCTCTAGCAGGGGAGAGCAGGGAATTGCCTCGGGAAGGAGGCCACTGGTGAAGCTTAACCACCCTGTAACAACATCAACAAACCAACCAACCCGGCCCTTCCCGTACCAACCGCAACTCGCCTTGGTGAGAACCAGATTGCTATTGGCTTGCCCCTGGCTTCCGGCGGAAAGGTTAACGCTTCTGTCGTACAACCAAAATCCGGCAGTACCGCCCGCCGGCGGCGGCACCGCGGCCGGACACGCAGCCACCGATGCTGATGTCATCATCGGCAGCGACGACGGCGGCGCGAAGGAAATCAGGAGTGTCCTCAAGGTGCACCTGCAAATCGCCGCCGTGGCCGACGATACACGCCGCACAGCACTGGAAACGCCGTACAACAGTTGGTTGTACGACGCGCGACGACTTGCCTCCGGCAACTCTCTGGAAGATGCCGCGGCGGCGGCAGCTGCGGTGGCGGAGCTGGGGGTGTCCTTGTGACCGTTAGCAAGCTGGCTGTCATCGCCGCCGCCGCTGACGCCGCCGCCGCTGGCGGCGGCGGTATCTGGTGTTCGATTTAGCGCATTCTTCTTTTGTCGCCAGAGCAGATGAAGCCCAGGCAGAACAAACCGTCCTAGCCGTGACGTGTACGACATGATCGGCCGTACATCGTCACGGCCGCTGCCGTCGAATCCAGTACATGCGGATACAGGCGATGCCGCCGGCACTGGGACGGCGGCGGCGGCACGGTCACCGACGGCAGCGGCGCCCGCAGCAATAGCTGCTGCTGCTGCTGCCGGTTCCGCGTATCCAGCGACATCTCCATTAGTCCGTACGGCAGTTCCCTTTCCAGAACTCATGCTGCACAGCACCACCGCCGGATCGGCTTCGCGTACGGCAGATTTGGCGTCGCACGAGACATCGTACGAGCTGCTGTAATTGACGGTGGCGACGCGAGCTCCCTTCTGAGCTTCTCCAGCTCGTACACCTGTCGATGCCAGGGCGACAGCTACCGCGCCGCCGCCGCCGCCGCCGCCGCCGTCGCCACATATAAAACTGTTGCCGCTGCCGCAAATGACACACGCATCATCGTCGTCGCTCGGTTCGCCGCCTTCGTTGTCACCTCTCCGTCTCAGCTGCGTCCCCAGCAGGCCCCAATCCTGGACAATCGACGGATGCTGGCTACAGCCGCTACTGCCGCCGCGGTACCGCGCCGGCAGACTCGACGTCCACGTGGACCACCACCGCCACAAGCTGCTGCCGGTGCTGCGGCTGTAGCTGCTTGGCCGGCCATCGCCCCGGGCCGCGGCGGCGGCAGGAACGGCAGCGGCGGCGCCGCTCCTTGATGAAAAGCCAGAGTTCCGTTCACCTCCCTGACCGTTCTGATTTACATGTTGCTGTGCGACCTCTAGGAGACGACCGTCAGCCTCAGCCTCAGCACCAGCACCAGCAGCAGCTCCACTGTCGTGACCTGCATCTGCACCACTAGGACCACGGGCCCCTCTGGTGGTGAACGGGGAACGAATCGTGCCCTCCCGCCGCTCAGCCGCCTCCGCCTCTGCCTCGGTCGCCTGCGCTGCCACTGCTAATTCAGCCTTTGTTGGGCCATCATCATCATCAACAGCAGCAGCAGCAGTAGCAGCAGCAGCAGTGGCAGTAGCATTACCATCAGCAGCAGTAGTAGCAGCAGTAGCAGTAGCACCGACAGTAGGTGCGGTGGCGGGTTGCTGTATCCGGCTATCCCCCTGCCGATACGAGTCGAGGAGCTGCTGCTGCTGCTGCTGCTGTTGGTAATGGTAAGGATGGTGCTGTTGCTGTTGCCGCAGGTGGTGGTTGCGTTCCTCCTGGCGCCCCTCCTCCTGCTGCTGCTGCGGCGGCGGCGGCGACCGCTCCCCTTGGTGCGGCTGTAGCAGATGTTGCTGTTCCGAGTGGCCCTGGCGCAGGGAATCCACTTTATCAGGCGCTATATCTGCAGCTACAGCTACAGCTACAGCCGCACGTCCCTGCTGTTGGCCATGTTCATCTCCCTGGCCGACATAGTCATCACCGTCATCAGTCGGCGACAGCGGCCGCCGTAGCCGCAGCACCCAGGCCGTCAAGTACCAGCCTCGACGTCTCCTCCCCCCCTTCCTCCCAAAATTCCGCCCATCCTTCTTCCCCCTCTCCCCCCTTACAGACAACATTTCCCCCAGCCCCAACCGCCCCAACCGCCACCATGACGATATCCGACGCAATGACCGCAATGATGACAACAGCAATCGCACGGCGAAGTGTCCGCCGCCGTCGTACGCTTCCCTCGCCACAAAAAATTTCAATAGAATCGCCACGGCCACCACCGCCACCATTACCATCACCATCACCATCACTAACAACACCACGTCCTGTAAGGTGCCACCGCTGTTACTGCGGCTGCTGCTGCTACTGCTACTGCTACCAGAGTCCAGGCAAAGCACCTGCTGCTGCTGTTGCTGCTGCTGTTGCTGCTGCCAAGCGGTGGTGCTGGACGAGGACGAAGGAGACATGTACGGCAGAAAAAAGGTGACGAGCGCTGCCGCGGCCGCGACGGCGGCGACTGCAATGGCGCCTGTGGTGAACAGGGCCCCACATGCAGTACAACCCTGTGCGGACCAGTCCCGGGCAGGTGCAGTGGGGTTGGTGGGGTTGGTGGGGTTGCTGGTACTGCACTGACGGCGACCGGTAGGGAAGGCAGCGGCGGCGGGTGCTTGTGCTGCAGGTGCGCTGGCTGGGTCCCTCAGGCCACTGGGCTCGGTAGGAGAGCCCGGGGCTGTGCCGCTGGTGGCTGCCGTGTGGGTATTTGCCGTGGTGTAGTTCTGGGGGAGGAGGGGGGGACTGTGGGGGGGTGGTTGCCGCGGTAGCGGGGTGGGCGGTAGTGGAGGAGGTAGGGGGGCTTCCTGGTGTAGTCTTGAGGGATGTGGGTCTGTATCCGCACCGTCCGAAAGGGAATGGGGACGATGAGGCCACGGCAAAGGTGGGCATTGGGGGAGGTGATGGTGCGGCTGGGGGTGCGGCGGTGGTGCTTGGTATGAATGTCGTGGCGGCTGGGATGTGGCTTGGGGGACTGTTGCAGGCAGTACGGGAGGGTAATTCGGAGGGGCAAGCTGTGAGGGAGATATGGGAGGGGTGTTGGTGCATGTGGCGATCGGCGGGGGGGTGGACGGCTGTTGTTGCTGGCGCTGGAGCGGGACTTCACTGCCGTCGAGGCCTCGCGCGGCAGAAAAGCTGTCTTCGGAGCAGGCAATTGGCTGTCTTGTGTCGCAGGAAAGGCTGCCGTTGTGCAAGCTGATTCGCAACTGACTCATTGCAGCTGCGGGTGGAGCTCAAGGGCTCCGGCGCCCGGGCTTGTATCGCAAGGCCAATACGATTTCAATTTGTTATGCTCGTATGTCGAAGCTTCCTGTAGGGCATTGGCAGCAATAAGCGGCTCAACAAAATGTGGAGAAGCCGGATGGACCACTGCCCGCAATACATGAAAAAGATAGTTTTTTAAAGCAGCTTGGGACATCACGTTCTACCAAGTGTGCAGAAGTGTTGCAAAATTCCATGCGTATTCCATGTGTAGCTCGAGACATGGCCATGATGTGCTCAAATCTCTTAGAGGCGCACCTCATGTCTCCTGGCATGGCATGACCGTGCAGAGTGATCCACCAGTAAGGAACGCGCTACTTGAAGAGTGCTGGATAGGAGAACGAGGTGGCGGTCGCAAAGCACCTAGCCGCGCCTGCTGGGCTACCTTACAAGAGAGCAGCCTTTTTCAACAATATTATTTGGCAAACGTCAGACAAAGAGAAACCGAGCAGTCCAATAATGTTAAACCTCGCTAGGTGCGCTATGCCTGCAACGGCAGCTTGCAGTAGAGAGATTTTTTCATATTATCTTATGTTGCCCAGCATACGAGTGAGAAACATACTTGCACAGTGGCAGAAAGAAGGCGCATATTTCCGCTTAAAAGGTGAATGATTGCAGAAGTAATAACGCAGACTTACTGCGGCTATGCGCCACACACATCTTAACAGTCCTGGTTGGAACCGGGGAAAGGTTCCATCCAGCAACTTGTAAGGCCCATGCGATATGAAAATCTAAAGGGATGATACAACTTGGCGCGGGCCTTTCAAGGGTTCACTTTCATCACCCTAGAGCTAAATCCCTCCCCAACGTTTCTTGATAGTAACGTTAACCAGGAAGCTTTTACACAGTGCATGTTGATTAAGTGCTCGTCCTGTAGTGTAGTACGGCAAGTGCGGCGCGGGAGGAGCAGACCGGAATTGGCCAGAGGACAGTGACTGATACGGTAGTGCGTTACAAAGATTAGCTGGGAACAAAGCGCTGAATCCAGACAACGCTAGTTCGCCAGTCAACCGTGCAAGCAAGCGCAAGTCAGAACGTCGTCTGTTGGGGATTTTGAATTGTTTAAATAGTGACTTACTTTGTATTCGGGACCCAGCTCAATAGTAAAGTAGATAAGGCGATTTGACGTTGCTGGCATATCGGTCGCCAGTAACAGCGAAGTGATGGCAGAGCGCGAGCAATCGCGCGGCGGAGGCCAAGAAGGCTTGGAGGACATCCTCCAACAGCGGGACGAAGGAGGACACCAGAATGGCGGAGCACCTAGTTACCCGGAGGGGGCCGATGCGGTGAGTAACAGACGCCAGCTATTGCTCCGCGCGGTCAGACTGTAGGCACAGCCAGCCGCCGCAAGTTCTGTTATATCAAAGGCATGGGAGAGACCGGACCCAGTTTTAAAATAGCGGGAAAGGGATGCGCCGCCGCTGTTGTTTGACCAGGCTGGATTAGAAGCTACGGGTCAGGCTTAGCTTATGAAGAACACGAATC